CATCCCAAACCCAAGCTCGAGTCCATGAACCGCGCACCTTAAACCCTCAACCTTGAACCGAAAGCCCATCGGAGGCTGGACTAGGGGTGTTTTGCAGCAGATGTGCGCTGCTATCTGGTAACAACATGCAGGCATGCAGCAGTAGTTTACTATCTAATGGTAAACGACAAGACTGTGAGAACAACAGGTACTAATCAAGATAGCTTACCTGCCAGGAGCCCGCAGCTCTCGAAGGCCCTACGCAGGGGCGGGGACTAGTCGAGCGTCATGCGGGGGCCCTGTGCGCTGAGCCGTGAAGCTTGTGCACAAAGCCCTCTACAGAAACAAACTCAACCCAGAAAGCCTAAAACCCCCAAACCCTAAACCCTAAACCCTAAACCCTAAACTCAACCCAGAAAGCCTTAAACCCTGAACTGTGCAGAACTGGAGTTTCGGAAGGGAGTTCTTATGGGATGCGACGAACCCCAAGAGCCGCCCCCGGGTTGGTGTCCTTAGAATCTCTGGCAACATGATCACCGTTAGTATCCTACCCCTTGCTTCCATCGGTCTTGCCTTTCGATGATTCCCACTGGCTCCTCCCTTCCCACGCCACTTGGCTATGAGGTCATGTTGCTAGGCTGCCATCTGATACGGCTCAGGAAGGTCATCTTTTCCCAGCCTTTTCCTTAAAGGGAGCTCCAGCTCCTTGCAGGCTCTGCTCCTTACGCTCGGTCGGCTTGTGAGCCTGGCTCGGTGCCCGGCGATGCCTCAGTGTTGCGGGGCTCGGAGGGCTTCTTGGCTTCTCGTCCTTGTTAGCAGTGTGGAAGGTTTACATGGTTCGATTCATGGCTTGGTGAAAAGTAGTCAACAAGCTTTGGGTGGTCAAAGCAACTCGGGGGGCCGTGCTGATGTCCATCCAAGTGCGTTAGAAGTGCAGTTCGACCAAGTACTTGTCTTTGTCTTGTCGAGGAGCTGTCGTTACAAGTAGTATGCTGTCTCGCTTCCTCACGAATCCCGCCGCTTCCGGGCAGCGTCATCGCAGGCTGCGTGCTGCAATTTGTAAGGCTAACTATCTCCTCATTCGCTCTCGTCCCCCCAATGCTCGAATGCCGCCCGACAGTTGCTCGAAACCTGAAGCCGTGCCGCGACCGCAAGGATAGGGGATCTGAACGAGGATTGAAATGGAGATCATGTTGGATCATACCAGGGATCCTCCCGACATGACAGATTTCCACGTGAAGAAGAGTTGTCAATCCTCCGTCGAACACCTCTCCAGCTTGCTGAGGCGGCGAGCCAGAGCCCCGGTCGCGGATTGCTAGGATCGGGTTTCCGTTGTCTTCGCCGCATTGGAAGCGAATCTCGCTCAGCTCGCTCCAAGAAACACCTGGTACGGCTTCCGACTCTAGTTGCTCTCATGGGGCAACCCCTTGCGGATGCGAGGGTCTTCGCTGACTTGCGCTTCAGACCAGCAGGGGTTTGACGATCTTGGCAGTGAGTACTGATGACCGTCTCTGCAGAGGTAAGGGGCCCTGGTTTCGCCGAGGTGTCGCCATCGTGCTGCCACTGTGGCAGCTGCAGACTGGGGATTTCGAGGAGCCCTGGGGCGTTTCAGGAGCTGCACACTGGATGGTAGTGGATGCGAAACGAACCTTGGTGAGCACGGGGAAATCTAAACAGGTTGCTTGTCATGGTGTTGGTGGTGTTTACTGCTGCTACCACTGCGACGGCGATTACTACGACCGCTACGACGACGAGCACGACGACGACTTCAACACTACGACGACGACGAGGACTGTGACAACATAGGCGACGACTACTACGACTGCTGCTGCTGCTACTGCTACTACTGCTACTACTGCTACTACTGCTACTACTGCTACTACTGCTACTACTGCTACTACTGCGACTACTGCTACTACTGCTACTACTGCTACTACTGCGACTACTGCTACTACTGCTACTACTGCTACTACTGCTACTACTTCTACGGCTGCTACCACTGCTACCACTGCTACTGCCACTTCCACTTCCACTGCCCCTGCCCCTGCCCCTGCCGCTGCCGCTGCCACTGCCACTGCTACTGCTGCTGCCACGGCTGCCACGGCTGCTACTGCTACACTGCTACAGCTGCTGTTGCTACTACTACTTCTCCTACTACTACTTCCACTACCACTACCAATACCACTAATACTAACACCAACACTAGCACTCCCAGTAACACTAACACTAGCACTAGCACCTCCTGCTCCTGCTGCTGCCCGCTGCTGCTGCTGCTGCTGCTGCTGCTGCCGCACCTACTACGACAACCACTTAAAGTCATGCCTTCTGCCTCGGATATGGCTATTCTCGCATTCTCAGTTGTATTTATGAAAACCATGCAGAAAATATGCCACAGTGCAGCATAGTCGCCCATCCAGTGCTCGCAGAAGAAGGACAGTTAGCCAGGGCATGAGCCCTTCCCATCGAACGCTAGTTTGCATGGATGCATTGTCTTGTCTTTTTGCCTCTGCCCTCGCCCCGTGTTCGCCAGGCCCGGCGCCTCGCGGCAGTGAAGGTGAAAACCTGTCCAACATCTCGATTGCCCTGTTCTCGGAGGCTTCTGATCCTCCCAGCAGTCATCTGTAGACGCCCTTCTTCTCGTGCGTGGTTTGGTGTTGCTGCTGCTACTAGTGCGGCTGGGTGGTGCTGGCGAGGGCGGTGGCAGGGGTGCTGGTGGGGGTGGTGGCTGTGTTCAGCAATCATTTGAGCACAGCGCAGTTTGTTGCTGCTATCGGCATATTGTCGTCATGGTTCAGTGCAACGTGTTGGCCCGCTGCCTATGTCACGCATTCTTAGGACTGCTCTTTCATTGGCAGGCAAAGTCGTAAAGTTCTCTCGAAGAAAAACTTGAAGAGATTGCTTTGTCGCTCCAGCCTCTCTACGTGCATGACCTTGAGGTAACATGCAGTGCAATAGGTATTGTTGAACAGTTCTGATCCGTTTTGAAGGCTTGGGGTGGTCTTGCGTTACTGTGACTTGGGAAAGACATGCTATCAATGATTAATGAGAGCAGTTATAATGACGATTACCATCACATTGTATTTCTTCTGATCGTCATTTTCATTGCCAATGTTGTCTGTGAAACTGCTTCGCGCCGGCCTGATCGGCGACCTGGTGGATAGAACTGGTACTAGTAACAGGATGGGGCGCCAGGCTGCCGCGAGACGTCCAAAATTGGTACAGGAGGTTTGTGCCTTGTGTTACTTAACCCCGAAGAAGCTACATTGTAAGGACTTATATAAGGAAAACATAATAAGGGAACCTTAAAAGGTAGGTTATTCAGGGTTAAGGTTGGGGTTGGGGAAGGGCAGGTGTGCGGGCTGAAGGGGGGCTTGGTGGAGGCAGGCCGCTGAGGAGCCTCTGAACGCCTGGGGGGGCTCGGGCCGAGACGCAGCTCCAGATCTCAGCTCCGGATCCTTCCTTGCTTTGTTGCCCTTCATCGTCCTAGGAAATGGGGAATGGATCCCTATAGCATAACCCATTCCCCCATTCCCTACTAAGAACCAGGCAGCATCGGGAGCTGGTAAGGTTGCTACCCTTACCGTTTCCGTGGCACTTGCAGCGCAGTTTCGCTCACTTTTCCTTGAGCCTCGAGTCGCCCAGGGGTGGGCTGCCCTTCCCCGGCCTGGATGCCGTGACTTCCACTCTGCCATCGCAGGGCCCACAGCAGCTAGCGCTCGGATCAGACAGGGCTCACGAAGCGATCCCGTGAATGCAGCTAAGGGGTCAGCACTCCCTTTCGTTGAGCTCCTGCTTTGTAGCACCGGAGCCTGGAAACCCCTCACTCATATTCGAACCCAGAAGCAGTTAGGCGTGCTCTGAGTTCTCGGAAGGAAGGAGAACCCTTCTCAAAAAGGACCCAGAGCAAGACCAGAGCCAGAGCCCTGAATGGCTCGACGCCTTGGGCCGAAAGACTGCACCCTCAACCCTAAACGGCCCTAAACCCTAATGAGTTCTCAAAATACCCCAAGGAGTTCACATCAAAGCGCCAAAGACACTGGCAAAGTCAGGAAGCTCTGGAGCTCCTTCATAGGGCCCCATCCCTGGGCCCCGAAGCTTCGTAAGGTTTACAGGGCCGTCGATCCGATCCCGCGCCCCGAAGCTCTTGAAAGCTGAGGCTCGATGTGGTGCGTCCAAGGCGGGACATGGAGCTTTGACTATGGGAGGCTTCAGGAATGGTAGTGGGAAAACCGAATGACATTCCTCTTGGCGTGAGGTGCGCGGGGGATCGTTTCAGGGTTTGTGGCTCTGGGAGAGTAGGAAGTCCAGCATCTGGTACCTGCTGCTTTGTGAAGCGGGAAAGTCTCTGTGTATCCATTGTAGATCGCAGGAGGTAAGGAGTCCGTCAAGATCAGTATTCGTAAACACGTCTGCAAACACGACACCTGTTTATTATTTTTTCCGTGCGTCATTTTCACGTTGCTGTCCGCCGCCGTTGTCCACGTTACTGTCCTCGTGAGCTTTGCAACCTGTTATTGGCAAGCTTTCAGGAGCCGAGGCCTCCCAGGCTCCAGGGTGACAAAGGGTTGAGGGTTTGGGTGTTTAGGGTTTAGGGTTTAGGCCAGACAAATTCTAGTTTTATAGGTCGACGCGAAAAGTCGTTTTTCGGTTCTGGGAATTCACCCGACAAGAGTTTGTTTTCGGAGATCGGCTTTTGTCTCCTCGGAGTCGACATTCGTCTTGTCTTCGGGCATCGCTCTTGCTCAAGGAATCAACTCGAGGAATCTTCGGACAACAGTCGCTATCCGCAGCCTGTGATTTCGAGAAGTGTTCTGTATGAAGCCATGTATCAGTCGTCCTGCTTTTTCGTGCCAGCTGCCGACACCCGGGCAGGAGCGCCGCAGCCTGTCGTGTGGGCCAGGTCTTCTTTAGACCCTTACCCTAAACCCTACACCCCTAAACCCTAAAACGGCTAAATCCAAAGCCTGCAAAGCCCTGAACCCTGAAAGACGATCCTGAAAGCTCCCGCGAGGCTCGTTGTGATGGAGCGCTTCATGAGGGTCGTGCCCTTCTGGCAGCCGCTGCAGGAGAAGGTGCTCTGGTGCTCTGGTAGGAGTGGCATACCATGTAATTAGCGACTGTGCGAGGGCGCCGAAAGGCAGTCAGACGAACTAGGAGGGTTGAAACACGGCGTGAAGCATGGTAGTCGATCGTGGTACCTCCGAGAACCTAGAGTCTCAGGGTCTAGAGGAGCTAGAGGAGTGGTGCAGGAATTGGCGGCCTCGAAAACAGCTCGGCCTCAACAGATGTCATCGCCTTCCCCTTTCTCCATATGTTTGGGGTATGGGGTTTAGGGTTGTTCTCCATTCTTGCTTTCGAGGAGATTTTGCCCACGGCCGAGTCCGACTTGGAGGACGAGATGATGGGCAAGCGCGCGCGGGACGCCCTCCTGGGGGCCCTGCTCCTCATCGGCCCGGGTGCCCGGAGCTTTGCTTGGCATCCTCGGCTTGGAGGTTTTTTGGGAGAGCATCCGTGCGCCTCAGGCTCCAATCAAAAGTTGCCTTTGCAACTGATGTGATTCTATAGGCGTTTGGAAAAAGGAGCAGAACCGAGAGCCGTTACTAAACTCATCGAACTAAACCATGAAGGCAAGTCCCAAATCCTTTCGACCACCCCCTTTTTGCACATTGCAGGTCGTAGCGAGCATCCCCCGACCCAGGTAGCTCTAGCTGGGATCATGTTCTCAGGAGTGGCTGTGGCCATGGCCCAGTTTCTCGCTGCCCTTGGGAACCTCGTAGCTGAGAGGACACACGATTTGACGTCTGCTGCCGAGTTTCAGGGGTCAGAATGTATTGGGCTGAAAAGCTGGGCTCTGAGAGTTGGAGACTTCTCATATCGGATCTAAACCCGAGGAGGCAAGTTGGGGCCTCTTGCATGCAGCTCGGAGCCCATGCACTCCCAAAGAGGACAAAGCCGCCCACAGTCCCAAAGCGAGACACGGAGAGCGTCGCGAGGACAGCGTCGAAAAACCCTGTCGCTTCAAGCCTTTACGCCTGTGTGCTGACAGACGACGAGAGCCCCTCCGAGACCAGGCGGGGCGCTTTTTCAAGTCGCAGCGTTGTTGTCAGGGTCGCTTAGGCGGAGTAGCAGGGATAAGGATAGCGGAGAAGGGTGAGTCGACTACTGTGATGATGAGGAGTAGGAGGAGGGGCGACGACGAGGAAGGTTTCAATCTGCTATGATGGGATTCGCCTCCTGGTAGAGTTGGCCATGCTTCAGGAGACCAAGCCATTACACAGCCACCTCGGCGCGGCACACGTGAATCTCTTGCCCGCTTCGGCCTGCTTCCAACATCTTCTATCGAGTCGCAGGCTGAAGCCGTGGCATAAGGCATGTAGCGGCATTCGCCGTTGATAAAGTCCGCTTTGCTTCGGTGAAGAGCATCCGATGTTGCAAACACGCAGGTCGCAAGCTTCGAATCTTTCATGCGACTCTCGCCGTGCCTGCAGGCCAATGCTGAAAGCGCCTGAGGAGGAGAGTGCAGGCTCCGCCAAGGGTCTCTGGTTCTGCTGTTTGCTGTTGGTTCGGTTGGACCAGCAGCAAAGCGGACTGCGCCTGCATTGAGGTTCTGGACTCCGTTCTGTCGCCTGCATGGCGTTGCTGTTCAGGCAACCCGGTCTACGAGTATGAGCTCTCTCTGGGGCTTGGAAAAACCGCCATGCTGCTGGCAAGGGCCTTGGACTGGTTCATGCTGGTCATGCCGTGCCAAGTCCCATCTCCCGATGCGGTCTCAAAAGAGTGCTGTCGGAGTCTGAATTGATCTTTCTGCGACATTCACCACCTTTCCCGCGCTGGCTCCCGGAGGTCTATTACCTGCTGCACAACGGATTCCTCTTGGCCGGGACCTCAGTGACATGGGATGGTTCTTGGAAAACTGGAATCAGGGCCCCCAGGCTCTCAAATCTCAGTTCGTGAGCTAAGACGGGAGCAAGAGTCGGCAGCCCAACAGCTAGGAACAAGAGTCCGAAGGGAAGCTCTGAACTGCCCTTCAGCTTTCCTCGCTAAGTTCCTGCGTGCCATTGTCATACAGTCCAGCCTATTGGTGATCTGTCGAGACATGCCATGCCCGGCGATGCCCCCGACTGGCCCCTGCGGGAGTGCAAGACCCGGTGAATAGTGGTGTTTTTGAAAAAGTAGCAGGGACCACGGCACAGCTGCTGCCGGACACTCCCTATGTCCTTTGGGAAGGCGAGGTGGCGGCTGGTACGAATCTGGTTCCAAGGCCAAGCACACGGCGAGACGTCCCACTCGGCGCGATGTGCCTACTTGGGAGCTGGAGCTCGAAGACAATGTGGGCAAGCATGAGGGTTGCTCTGGGACTGGTCTTCAACTACCTTAGCCATCTTTGCCCCGAAATGCACAGGGCTGAGCACCCCGAAGCCTCGAACGACTATTAGCCCATAGCAGGCCGTCCGGGAACGGACTCGGTACTCGCGCTCGCCAAGGTCCTGATGTCCTGGTGCATGCTCAACAACCTGATGCTGGGAGCCTCGCCTGCAAGAGCGTTGACCGTCACCCAAGCATCAAAAAGGCACCACTTCCGCGTCCGCATGAATCCACGATGAATCCACGGGCTTTGCGAGGAAGCGCGGGCATCGTCTGGGAGGCCATGGGTCTCTGGCTGGTCGTCGGCTTCCCAGAGACACAGCTGTGCATGTTTTTTGGCCGAGTTTCTGAGCGGATTTGCAGCACCCAAGAGCCTCGCGCAACCGATGTCCTGCATCTGGCTCCCAAGAGTTCTCACAGGCCGTGCTTGCTGTCGACGTTCTGGGGTACCTTGGCCGTGCCATCCAGGCCCTGGAAATCCTGCGTCGTTAATTCTTTTGCATAGACGGTGTATTGAGGACCCCTTGAGCTGCGCTGGTCTCCTTTCTATTGAGCACTTGCTCCGTTGAGTGAGGGCGAGAGAAGCCAGCTTCCACAACAGCCGTGCGAGCAACTGCACTATTTCTGCCCGCTCTCGCTCTGGAGGCTGCGTGGATTGGTCGGAAGGTGCCAAGCCCCGCGATGACAATCATCATGTCTGCCCGGAGCTCGTGGAAAGCGAGCTGCACTTCGACCCGCGCACAGTTCGCCATACATTTTGCCAAGCCGTCGGTGTGCGGAGCAGATGCTGCCTTTCGCTGAGATCGTTCCCATTCTGGGACCCCGAGTCGATCTCCTGAAGGACGCAGCTGCGCGGGCAGGGAGCCCTGAAGCTTGTCGTCGCTGCGGGGCGACATCTATCTTCACACTTCCTCTGCTCCCGAAATCCACTGGAGTGTCTGTTCCTGTTCCTCGCCGGACTCAGAATGCCTCGGGAGGACTGCGTCTTTACGGCTTCCGTATTGCAGTTGGCCGCCTGTGCGGAAGACGAAGGAACCCGACAAAGGGGCCGGGTGCTGAAGTGAAGCTCTTGGATGCGTGACCGACCCGTTCTATGCTGGGATGAGGTTATAGACTTGAATCTTCCATGAAATGTTCTAAACAGTCGATATTATGCACACACAAAAGAGGCGGACGCATGCATACGTGCTTGAAGATAGACAAGCGCGCATTTGGATGCATGAACGTGTCTACCTATACACCTCGTATGCTCGTCTGCGTCTATGCCTGTCAGTTTGCATGCATGCAAGTTGAGCACCCATATCCGTGGTGGTGAGAGATGAGGGCCAAAAGTCGGCATGTAAACAATTGACCATACGAAAACGATGCCAGGCAGCGACGAGAAATCAATATGACTACGAGTTCAGGTATCGCGACAACAAGCAACAACACTTATAGGTAGCACGCACTGCCGTTGCCCCAGGCATACCTCACGTGCACTCGTCGACGCATGCATGTTTGCATACGTATGCACGTGGAGCCTGGAGTTCGCGACAGTATTAAGAGAGAGTCTGAGCATGGCACCCGCAGAGGCTTTTGGATCGGAGTCTGCAGCCTGGTGACGTTGTTCACTCCGGGGCCGTTCCTGCGGCTGAGCTCAAGCAGCCTCAAGATTCCCGTGTTAGCTTAATAATTAACAGGTTGAGCTTAGGCCAGGGGTCTAGGTGGGGGCAGGTCTCAAGCGAAGCTTCGGCGAGAGAGGCTTGTCTCTGCACATTCGCAGACTTCACTTGGCACTGCTGCAACGGGTCTGAGGTTCTGCGACGGTGCGAGCAGGACCCTGCCGAGCGAATCTTCGAAACTGTCGTTGGCCTTTGGTCCGGAAGGGTCGGCTTTCTCCGCTCTTCCCGCAGGATGGAGGTTGCCAAGGAGTTCCTTCCCGCACTGGGCGTCCGCCTGAAGGCCATCCAGTCCAAGCTGCCTTGCGTAGTTGTGGGTGAGGGTGATGTCGGGTGCCCGTTTCGAGTTTTCAGAGGCTTGGATTTATCGAGCTTGCATGGTTAAACTCCTCATACGCGGCGGAGTTCCGTCTCTAACCTGCGCAGCGCTTTACCTGTCCTGCCCCTCACAAGCGAGATTCGTGATGCGCTGTCGCACTACGCCATCAAGACGTACTCAGGCGGTTGACAGCTCCAATTCTCTTTTCGCGAGAGGCTCAGAGAGGCAAACACCAGCTTTGGGTGATTTGTACATGTCACTGAAGAAGTGGTTTTTGAGGAAACCGCTCGGTCCGAAGGGATTCGCGGTGGTTGGTCGCCGCTGGTGGTGGATGTTCTTCTCGAGGCGAGGGTGGGCTGAGGCCATGGGCAAGTTGCTGCAGAAGCAACTGTGTGCACGTGTTCCGCGGGTGGCATCACGTGGCAGTCCGCAGCGGCATGCTGCAGCCGTGAACAGGTTTTGATCATGGCCGGCAGGCTGGGGCTGAGTTCGTCAAGGTCTTGTCGCAGCAGAGCACTCCAGCACGGCTTTGTCTGGCTCCCAGCCGCTCGCACATTGCGAACAGAAGAGCTGCCGCTGTGCACAGCCCAGGGATTGCAATTGGCGAAGATGTGCCACAGGCCGCCGTGCACCTAGCCTGGGCTCTAGCCCACGATGTTCGTGCATTAGATCAATTGCAGAGGTGGGCCGGGTAACGTGCTGAGAGGACATGGAATCGAAATCTGCGAGGGTAGCAGCATTTGCGCGGCTGGCAGAGCCATCGCGTCGTGCATCATCTGCTGCAACCTCAGTTGTCCGTCTTGCCGGTAAGTCTGCCGAACCAGGTCTTGGCCGTGATGGCGATGCTCAACTTTCACAAGTTTAGTGGCCTTCTGCTCCTGAACCTTGCAATGCCCTCAATGATCATCGCGGTCCCATCCGGGGCTTCGGGCGACGAGTTTCCTCTGCTTCTTGAGGTCTTCTGCTGCGTGAAGATCGCAGGCATCTTGGCCGTCCGGTGGCTCCTCCGGCTCGGGCTTCAGCTTCCCCTCGGTCCCCTCGTGCTCGAGCTTTCGGCAGTCCAGTCCTGGAAGCTTGACGAAGGTGGTCGGGTGTGTACACAATCGACCCGTCTGCCATCGCGATCATGGCGGCGCCGCTCTCGGATGCCATCGCCAGACATGCAATGTAACCGCCTGCAGCCCTGATCCGGGCAGCTGCGCGCCTGCTGAGGCTTCACACGGCCTCGACGTCCGAGATGGACGCGGCCGCCTCCTCGGAGGTTTCTTCCGACTGGGAGGGTTGGCAGTGGTAGGAGCAGGCTCGATGCCGCTACCTTCATCCCTGTCGCTGTAGTGAAGGGCCTCCTGTGGCAACTCCCTGCGCATGTCAAGATATGTGTTGTCTGGAGGGTTCACGCTTGTTGAAGGTAATTCGGGAAGGCTGCTGCTCTGTGCAGGGCCGGAAAAGCAGTGATGCAACTTTGCCCATCTTCTCCAAGGGGACAGGTCAGAATGGGCTGAGGTCAGACACCTTTGATATGCGCTGCCCAGCTCGGGGACACGGAGATTCTGGCGACGCTTCTGAACAGCGGCGCAGACAAGGACCCCGCACAATCGAAAAGCCGGGCCGATTTTGTTTCAGAACAACTCCCCAGCCGCCTTCTCCCTCGGTGTACTGCATCGAAGAGCCTCGACGGGATTCCATAGCCTTGGAGTCACTTGGGCGGAACACAGTGGAACGATGAGGCCCACGGTGCCGGATGCTGTGGTGAGATGCTGATGTTGCGTTCGGGTGTGCAAACAAGTTGGCGGACCATGTCGACAACGATGATCTTTACCTCGGCCTTTAAACTGATCCATCACTTGCAGAAAGGGTTCCCTTGATCGCTGCTAGAGACATCCAGCTCATCCTGACCATATGCGACAGCAGGAATCTTCCTCTCCGACAGCTGCGCTTTGCCCGCCACCCTTCCCTGAGATCCTCGAAAAGGGACTTTGGAACCCAACCTCAGAACCATGGGTGCAGAAGAGCACGGGTAGCTACGCAGCGCGTCTGGTTGTACACAAACGCGCAACGAAGTCTGCTCAAAGTGTCAAGGAAGGCTTGAAGGGGGTCGGCAGGGGAAACGACAGGCGGGAGGCTCACTGCCAATCACTGCACCACATGACATGCAACGTTTTCGCCATGTTTTCCCCTCGCCCCACAGCCAGGAGATGGGGTCAGGGGCCCGGCAGCAACAATCCTAGAAAATCAATGCAGCACTCTGTTTCAACCAGTAGCAGGTTGCGACTGAAGCTGAAAACGGAACCAAGAAGAGTTGGAGCCAAACGGGCGAAGCGCCCCCTGCTGGTACTGGAGTGCGACCGGTTGGTCACCAGTGGCCGTGAAGGCATGCAGCTTGTTTTTTTCCGATTGCCTTTGTCTGTGTCTGTTTTGCTGCTCTGCTTCCGCAGTGGATCTGCGGTGTGTGAATCCTTGTGAATATCACCTCGATTCTTGCATGTGCAGCTTGAGTGCGTGCCTTTTCATGTGTAGTCCTAGGTGACGGAATTGTGTAAAGCTTGAGAATCCTCGAATAACGTTTCAAGTCGTCACGTGAGTGCTGCTGCTTTTCTCATCTCACGATATGCAGAACGCAGAGTTCTCCCAGTCCTCTGTTGCTCGCCCTGTCCATTACGGAGCTTTCGTCCCAACGGGTGGCTCTCAAGTCTGTGATAATCGTAGCATTCCGAACGCAACCGAAGCCCTCCCAAACCCCCCCAAACTCGGAGCTCTGAGTCCCCTGCTGAGCCTGAGCCTGAGCCAGGACGCAAAGGACAACATTGGCCCGGAGCCTGGGAGGGGCTGCTGCAGAGCTGTTTCTAGCGGTGGCCTCCCCCAAAAAAAACACACGAAGAAGGGAGGGCAGAGCTCTGCTGTTTCGGGGTCTTTTCCGAGGCCGAAGGCCGCAGCCGCCCTCCGCCGCCCTCGAAGCCGCCGCCCGAAAGCCGAGGTCGCACGCCGCTCCACGAAGCCGCAGTCAACGGCCGCACCGACTGCGTGGAGCTCCTGCTGAAGGCCGGCGCGGACAAGGCGCAGCGCCCCGCCCCTTCGGGTGGCTTCGGGAGTTCAAGGGCCAGTAGGGCTTGGAAAGTATAGGCTTTCATAGGGTTGTATCATACCATAGGGAGGCCGACGTGCATGAATCCAGCATGGCCGGTACGGGCATCGTGCACGCCGTCTTCAGCTCAAGCTCCCAAAGCTGTTCCCCGCTGCAAATCCCGACCAGTCCCGCAACATCCGAATTGCATAACTGCCTGCAGAAGATAGATTTGGAGAAGCTCCGAGCCTTGTATTTTTCTTACCCATACTAGTTTGATCTAATTTGGTGGGTCCCTTCCCTTATTATACTTGTGGTCTAATGGGTCCCAAGACCTTATTCTAATTTTGTATCCATCCCGAGCCCAGATCTTCAACCGGGGCCCCCGAAACCTCTTTGAACTCTGAGCCTTCGCTCAAAGCCGTGGCCAGGGGCTGAAAGACAGAGACGGCCTGGTGCCAAGCGCGACGCAGGGCCGGGGCATGTGGGCAGGTGGCAGGCGCATCGAAATCTGCGGATCAGTTTAGGGGTTTGTAAGGGTTTAGGGTTCTGTGATGTTCTGTGTGACTGTAACTTCTGCTGAAGTTCTTGTTTCCTCGCTGGCAAATTCAAGGGAGGCCATGTCTCTCCAGCTACGCTGACCTGCCACTGCCACGTCTTGGCCCCGCAAACGACTAGGTTTGTCTTCCCCTCCCCAGATTTCCGGGAGTTCAAAGGCACCTTGACAGGCGCAGAAACAGCCGTGCGCAGGACAATTTCAGCCCTTCAAAGTCTTAAGCAATGAACAGCTCTCCCCTGCCTGGGAAGGGGAGTCCTTCGCCCCTCAATTTCGAAACTGGTCCCTTGGACGCCCTCGCATACTGTCGTTGTAGTGTCGAGACAGGACAATGACAAAGGCCTCCTGAGCCCGAGCTCTCCCCTGAGCAGCTGCAGCCTCGAGCCGACTCGGCCACCCGAACTGGCCGCCCCGGTGAAGCTTGGGAGCATTCTTTCAAGAGACCTCCGAACCGAGGCACGACGGCTCTCCACTCTGCGGCAGAGGGCGGCAGCGCGCAGTGCGTGCGGCTCCTCCTGGACGCCGGCTCGAACAAGGCGGCCAGCGGAGCACACATACCTCCTGAAAAGGGAGGAGCTGGCATTTTCGCTGAAGCTCTGTAAGCTCTACGGAACGAGCAAACGGACTCCTTCTTCTGATCAGCTCTGATGGAGAACAGCGAAAGAGCAGCAACCGAAGCCCTCCCAAACGCCCCTCCTCGGAGCTCTGATTTCCCTGCTGAGCCTGAGCCTGAGCCAGGACGCGCAGGACAAGTATGGCCCGGAGCCTGGGAGGGGCTGCTGCAGAGCGGTTTCTAGCGGTGGCCTCCCCCAAAAAAAACACACGAAGAAGGGAGGGCAGAGCTCTGCTGTTTCGGGGTCTTTTGCGAGGCCGAAGGCCGCAGCCGCCCTCCGCCGCCCTCGAAGCCGCCGCCCGAAAGCCGAGGTCGCACGCCGCTCCACAGCGCCGCAGGCAACGGCCGCGCCGACTGCGTGGAGCTGCTCCTCAAAGCTGGTGCGGCCAAGGCGCAGCGCCCCGCCCCTTCGGGTGGCTTCGGGAGTTCAAGGGCCAGTAGGGCTTGGAAAGTATAGGCTTTCATAGGGTTGTATCATACCATAGGGAGGCCGACGTGCATGAATCCAGCATGGCCGGTACGGGCATCGTGCACGCCGTCTTCAGCTCAAGCTCCCAAAGCTGTTCCCCGCTGCAAATCCCGACCAGTCCCGCAACATCCGAATTGCACAACTGCCTGCAGAAGATCGATTTGGAGAAGCTCCGAGCCTTGTATTTTTCTTGCCCATACTAGTTTGATCTAATTTGGTGGGTCCCTTCCCTTATCATACTTGTGGTCCAATGCATTTCCCAAAACCCTATTCTAATTTTGTATCCATCCCGAGCCGAGATCTTCAACCGGGGCCCCCCGAAACCTCTGAACTCTGAGCCCTCACTGAAAGCCGTGGCCAGGGGCTGCAAGGCGTAAATGGCCTGGTGCCCAGCGCGACTCAGGGCCGGGGCATGAGGGCAGGTGGCCGGTGCATGGAAATCTGCAGATCAGTTGAGGGGTATGTAAGGGTTCAGGGTTCCGCGACGTTCTCTGTGACTGTAGCTTCTGCTGAATTTTCTTGTTCCCTCGCTGGCAAATTCCAGGGGAGGCCGTGTCTCTCCAGCTGCACTGACCTGCCACTGCCACGTCTTGGCCCCGCGCAAACGACTAGGTTTGTCTTCCCCTCCCCAGATTTCCGGGAGTTCAAAGGCACCTTGACAGGCGCAGAAACAGCCGTGCGCAGGACAATTTCAGCCCTTCAAAGTCTTAAGCAATGAACAGCTCTCCCCTGCCTGGGAAGGGGAGTCCTTCGCCCCTCAATTTCGAAACTGGTCCCTTGGACGCCCTCGCATACTGTCGTTGTAGTGTCGAGACAGGACAATGACAAAGGCCTCCTGAGCCCGAGCTCTCCCCTGAGCAGCTGCAGCCTCGAGCCGACTCGGCCACCCGAACTGGCCGCTCCGGTGAAGCTTGGGAGCTTTCTTTCCCGAGGCAAGACGGCTCTCCACTCTGCGGCGATCGGCGGCAGCGCGGAGTGCGTGCGGCTCCTCCTGGATGCTGGCTCGAACAAGGCGCCCGGCGGAGCACACACACACCTCCTGAAAAGGGAGGAGCGGGCTGGCATTTTCGCAGAAGCTCTGTCAGCTCTACGGAATGAGCAAACGGACTCCTTCTTCTGATCAGCTCTGATGGAGAACAGCAAAAGAGCAGCAACCGAAGCCTCCCAAACCTCCCAAACTCGGAGCTCTGAGTCCCCTGCTGAGCCTGAGCCCGAGCCAGGACGCACAAACCGACTCTGGCCCGGAACCCGGGAGGGGCTGCTGCAGAGCTGTTTCTAGCAATGGCCTCCCCAGAAAAACGCACGAAGAAGGGAGGGCAGAGCTCTGCTGTTTCTGGGTCTTTTCCGAGGCCGAAGGCCGAAGCCGCCCTCCGCCGCCCTCGAAGCCGCCGCCCGAAAGCCGAGGCAGCACGCCGCTCCACTTCGCCGCATCCGAAGGCCGCGCCGACTGCGTGGAGCTGCTGCTGAAGGCG